TCCTTCCTTCCTTCCTTCCTTCCTTCCTTCCTTCCTTCCTTCCTTCCTTCCTTCCTTCCTTCCTTCCTTCCTTCCTTCCTTCCTTCCTTCCTTCCTTCCTTCCTTCCTTCCTTCCTTCCTTCCTTCCTTCCTTCCTTCCTTCCTTCCTTCCTTCCTTCCTTCCTTCCTTCCTTCCTTCCTTCCTTCCTTCCTTCCTTCCTTCCTTCCTTCCTTCCTTCCTTCCTTCCTTCCTTCCTTCCTTCCTTCCTTCCTTCCTTCCTTCCTTCCTTCCTTCCTTCCTTCCTTCCTTCCTTCCTTCCTTCCTTCCTTCCTTCCTTCCTTCCTTCCTTCCTTCCTTCCTTCCTTCCTTCCTTCCTTCCTTCCTTCCTTCCTTCCTTCCTTCCTTCCTTCCTTCCTTCCTTCCTTCCTTCCCTTCATGTGTGGACTCAAGGTATTCACTTTGCAGGGTTTCTGTAATGACTCACGTCATAGGTAGACTTAGTTAGCATAGCCCCATCCACATGGTAGCTGGTTATTCCTTCATAAATATTATTCTTCGCACCGAAGACACCAGTAAAGCCATTCGCCACGGGCACAGTGATTCGTTGTAGTCCTTTCACTATGCCCTACTCTCTACCCTGGAGAAACCGGAGCGTTACACAAACACGCACGTTCAAGGGATGAATATAATCGAGACGTTTTCGCTGCTTGATGCATATTTGACCAGTTGGGTTCCTTCTGCTCCTGGGCTGACTCAGTTTCTCTTCTGTTTCTCTCAGTCTCTGTCTTTCTTGTCTGTGGCCTCGATTTGGCGTTCCTTGGGTGCCCATCCTATATAATAAAAGGCTAATATGCAAATTGACTGAACGGCAGAACGACTGGTCGCTGTGACATGCACTGACCACCAGGGGGCAGATGCTCAATTAGGAGCTGCCCCCTGGTGGTCGGTGCGCTCCCACAGGGGGAGCTCTGTTCAGCCAGAAGCCGGGCTCACGGCTGGGGAGCAGAGTGGCGGTACCGGGAGCCTCTCCCGCTTCCATGGCAACACTAAGGATGTCCGACTGATGGCTCCCGGACTGCGAGAGGGCACAGGCCAGGCTGAGGGACCCCCCCGCGAGTGCACGAATTTCATGCACTGGGCCTCTAGTTAGTGTATAAGAGCCAAGACCCCAAAAAGGGTCACTGATATTCTGCGGTGACCAGCGGGCTCGCAGATCACGGACCTTCCTTCCCAAATGGCACGAAGTCAGAAAAGCATTCGGGCTCATCGGGTCTACGAGAGGAACGCCATGTCCACAGATGCAGCGTGCTCTGTTCCTATGCGCGTCGAAGTGTCCGACACGATCACCTGTCATATCGGCGGGATCCCGGGCATGACGACCACACAACCAACCTTTCCCCATAAACAGGAGTAAGAGGATTGTCATCGGACACCCTGTCCTCTGCGTCTAACGCTTCCGGGGCCTGTGACTGCACCGCGCACCCACCTCTTTCAGTCTCGAGGTCATTCCCTAGGAAGTAGGAAAACGCGTGGCTGACGCATGGGCTGGCGGGATGTTTACGTGCAGAACCGCAGGGGGAGAGATTTGCATCTGCCGGGTACATGATAACGCTGCTATAATGGTGCTATTATTATCATATTTCACTGATAAACCAGCGGGGGGTGGGGGGGAGCAGGGAGGGAAGACCGGTTCTCTGGCTTTCTGAAGCCCAGATAAGAGCTGGTCACTTGCCCAGAGCACTCACTGCACGAATACTTAGTCATTGCATGTGGCTTGTTGGGTCGGCTGTCTGCGGACCATCGATCAGGTTTACGGAGTGCGTAAAAGTGGATCCCTTTCCTTTATTTATTTTTATATATTTTATTGATTTTTTTACAGAGAGGAGGGGAGAGGGATAGAGAGTTAGAAACATCGATGAGAGAGAAACATCGATCAGCTGCCTCCTGCACACCCTCTACTGGGGATGTGCCCGCAACCACATGCCCTTGACCAGAATCGAACCCGGGACCCTTCGGTCCACAGGCCGACGCTCTATCCGCTGAGCCACACCTGCCAGGGACCTTTCCGCGTTTTTTTTTCATGGGAGATGCTGAGAGCCCGCATTTATTTCATCTGTGTCGCTCCACCCCTCTGACCTCGTGCTTTTCTTAGATCTGTCGAACCCGACAGGTTTCAATCCCCTGGGAATGGCTTTCCGTTTCTCTCTGGACGGGGCTGGGCGGGAAGGTGGTATTGAAGGGCCGAGGGCATCTTTTCAAATGCCATCATCACTGGGAGGAATCCCTGTGTTCGCTCAAGTCTGTGCTGGGGACTCGGGGGCCTGCCTTCCAGGTGGCTTTGAATTAAGAGGCGCTGGAACGTTCCGAGCTGTACACGAAACATAGCGGGCGAGGTGAGCTCAGTCCCGGACGTGTGTCAGGACAACGCAGCGTTTGCAGGTCAGGCGCCCGGTTACCCGCATTTTCATCGGTAACTGCACAGCCCTGGTCAATTCCGCTGGCGATTCCAATTCTCAGCAGCCAGAGGGGCTGGCGAATGACTGGCAGATTTTTGGTGTGATGGCGCCACCTACTGGAATAGGTTAGGTATTCTTTGGTCTAGAAAACAGCACATATTCTTTTTATTTTTTTTGAGATAGCTTCCTTTTCTTTTCTTTTTATTTTAAATATATTTTATTGATTTTTTTTTTACAGAGAGGAAGGGAGAGGGATAGAGAGTTAGAAACATCAATGAGAGAGAAACATCAATCAGCTGCCTCCTGCACACCTCCTACTGGGGATGTGTCCGCAACCAAGGTACATGCCCTTGACCGGAATCGAACCTGGGACCCTTCAGTCCGGCCCTTGACGGGAATCGAACCCGGGACCCTTCAGTTCGCAGGTTCTATCCACTGAGCCAAACCGGTTAGGGCCACATGTTCTTTTTTTTTTTAAGTCCCTAGAAGAGTTGCCGAAGGATAATATATAAAAACACCAAGTATATTCCCACGCTCTGTGTTATTAAATCTTTCGGTGCGATTACAGAAGGTCAGAGAGCATTCAATACGGCTCATACTGTTAGAGATACGGATGCCGTCTCTTTATTATTGCACGCCTATTCACGCTCCTTGTTGGAGACCTGCAGTTACTTTTTATATTAAAAAAACAACTAAATTTTTAAAAAACTATGTAGTTCAGTGGCTATGGCTTATTGAAGTCGAGTTGCTGTTTCACGTCACGTTGCCGGAGCCCCTGAATCTTACCTCCTGGTGCCGGCTTCACTTTGGGAGTGGCTTGCATTTTTTTAAAAAAAAATAATTATTTTAGGGTGCTTCTGCAATGTTGAGTGCCTCAGTAATTTGCATATGTCTGTATGGTGTGACTCAGTATCATACAGATGTGACTGTGATAAAGATTTTGCAACTATGAGAACAAGCCACTTAAGTCCTAAACTGTGATGTGGGGTGTGTGTGTGTGTGTGTGTGTGTGTGTGTGTGTGTGTGATTTACTCTGTGAAGAAAACGAAATAAAAAGTAGGAAAGGCTCCAGTGCTTTGATATAGCTCGGTGGAGGAATTTAGAGTTAGGGTCTGAGATAAATGCATGTGAAAGTAAATACATATTCCGCCAGAGAAGCCCTTAGGGGAAGTTGCCATAAACACAGAAGAAAGGAAAATGGGATTTATCTTTATATATTGTTTTTTTCCCCAGGGATTACGCTTTATTGCCTTAGTGATTCGAGGGCCTGGAGAAATGTTGACTATGGAGGCATGATGGCCAGATATATAGATGTAGCTACAGCTGGAACTGTAGATACAGATAAAGATAATATGGATAGAGATATATGGGTAAAGGTGGAGATGGGTAAAGATAGAGATATGCAGATAACGAACTATCCTGTTCTCTCGCCCTCCTTTTCAAAATGTGGATTAAGATAACGTCACAGCACCTATTTCCTTATAACGACGCATCCCGTTGTAACCAGTTGGCATCCTCTTCACATCCCGGAGGCAGGCAATGAGGGCATGTGGGCTGACGCCGTGTCTACCGGGCGGAAGCACTTCTGGTCCATTTCCTCTCGCAGTCACAGCTCTGATGTTGAAAAAGAAACAGCGTCCTCAAGGCCCCGGCTTTCTTTTTTCTCGTTTCCATCGTAAAGACGTGTCGGATTTCCATTCCTTCTTACAAAACGCTCCCTACGTGGTGTGGTGGGGGTCAGCCAGACCCACCGAGCGCAGTGGTCTGTGGAGTTAGCGATGGAGCCGGGACGGGCAACGGGGCATATTCCCTTCTTCTCCGCCATCAAACCTACCATCAGGTTTCTCCTCCGCGTCCCAGAGCCAACGGCGTGCGTCCCTCCGGAATAATCCAACCTCCTCGCCGTGGCCTGGTGCCTAAATAACTCTCCGGCGTTTTTATGGTTGGTGTTGGTCTAAATTCCATACTGAACTGAGCTGATTTGGGGCAGGGAATTGCTCCATCCTGGTCATATGACATCCCTAGAAGGTGGCATACTGTCTAGCGCCCAGTAGGTACTCAATAACTAATCATCAACGCCCCCCCCCCCCCCCCCCAAAAAATGATGAGGTGGGCCCCCCCCCCCCCCCGCCCCAAATAAATGATGCGTTGGGGAGAAACTCGCCAAAGTCTTTCGCAGGCTTGCGATGAATCCCCATAGCTCCCCTTTATCCTATTATTTTTCTTCTTTTACCTGAGAATTCAAAAACGTAGAGCGTTGTTTTGACACACTTGGGCTTTGTAAAGAGAACGTTAAGAGAAGGGATGGGGTTTCATTGGGGTAAAAGGTGCTGAAAATAGCCATTTTGTGAATGTTAACTGACGGAGATTTTATATATATGAAATACATATATACACATATATATATATACACATGTCCATATAGAGACATATATGTATACATCTAACTAATACTTACATATGTATGAAGTCTGAGACTTTCTGAGGATTTTTTTTTTCTTTTTTGCAGGAAATGGCCAACCTACTACTCCTACTGCTACTACTGGTAAGACTGCCTCTTTCCATTTTGCTGATTTTATTTTGTTGTTGCCAAGTTTATATACTTAACGCTGGTAGAGTTTTTCCGTCACGACCCGGTGGAATCCCTGTGTGAGGGCGCACTTTCAGGAACTGAACGTTCTCCTGTTCCTCACACGTCTGCTCAGAAGATAGGTCGTTGGGGAACCTCCCGAACACATTGCTATTTGTATGTATTATCGCGTGTAAAGTACAGCTTTTCTTAAACTCGGGGCAGGATTCCAATCTCTTTTAAAAGGTCAGCACGCCAAAGAAATCGAGTCCGATCACGAAGCGTTATCGTTAAAAACAGGGTAAGGAATTCCCTGAGAAAATGAGAGAGAATTATAAAACAAAATTATACGTAAGGCATAGATTCTGTCCAGAGAAATACTTTGAGACTTTCCGGGCATTTTGTACTAATTATTTCCAAACTCGACGGTCGCACCTGAATTTTGTCTTGACAAGCATCCTGAGCCTCGGACTAGTTCAATTTAAGTCACGTAGCGGCTGAAAATAAATGCACACCTACTATGTGCCAAATGAGAGAGAGAAACCTCAGGTTGCATTTGGGGAAAATAAATGCGCACCTACTGTGTGCAAAATCAGAGAGAAACCTCAGGTTGCACTTGGTTACCGTTATTGAAAATGCACCATTGCTTCCCTGATCAATCGGGCGGCGGGCGGTATGAATGAAGAAGGTGAGTCAAGCTCTGACACGCGTCAGCCTCGTCTCATAAGGTGGCGTGGGCATGGACGCGCGCGTGGCTCTGTGTTGCTTACACAGCCCGGGGACGGGGAAGTTGCTAGACTCCCGTGCGAAGAGGTCTCGGGGCCTGGCTCACCTGTTTATTTTCTCCTCCTCCGTTTCCCACGGTATCACAGTTCAGAACTCGACAGGGATGCCCAAGGCTCAGCCCGCAGCTTCCCGCTCACCCGCAAGCACCACGCCACTCTCACCCGCAAGCACCTCCGAGCCGGAGAGCAGCCGCCCCCCGACGGCCACGCCAACGCCTAGTACCGGGGCTTCTCCCCTAGGGAACCCCCAGGACCCCCAGGAAGATGCCAGTCAGATGGACGTGGCAGGTTGGCACCCATGTCACCTGAGACGGGAGGAGGGGAACTTGTCTTTTTTTATTTTTTATTAATTGATTTTAAAGAGAGAGGAAGGGAGAGAGAGAGAGAAACATCCATGATGAGAGAGAATCATGGACCGGCTGCCTCCTGCACGCCCCACACTGGGGATCGAGCCCAAAACCTGGGCCTGTGCCCTGACCGGGAATCCAACCGTGACCTCCTGGTTCAGAGGTCGACGCTCAGCCACTGAGCCACGCCGGCGGGGCCATTTGTATCATTTTTAAAAAAATTAACTAAAATAATTACATGCGGGCAGACATGGGGTTAGCAGGTTGGGGCAGTTCAGAATCGGGTTGGCGATGAGAGCCGTGGGCGCTGTGCCCCCTCCCGGCCTGTGTCCGCCCCCTGCGTGGGGGACCTTGATTGATGGAATGTGTCCCTTTCTCCCCGTAGGACCCACCTCCACGCAGCTGACTTTCCTTTCCACAGACCCGCAGGCACCCAGCACGGCCCCCTCGCCCTCACGCACCCAGGCTCTGGGCGGCAATGGCACAGCAGGTGGGCGGGTCACACGTGGGGGCACGTGCAGAGGCGTGAAAGCCGCCCGTGTTGAAGGACAGGGTGCAGGGACGCCACCGCCTGCTCTGGGGGAGGTGGCCTCGGTCGCAGTGGGGGCACCCTCTCCTCGCTGGGTGTCGCCGGGGTGGGATTCTCAAGATCTGAGCCGTGCCCAGGGGGACCGCGTGATTTTTATTTGGGTGGAATGACACCCCGAGTCCAGTCCTGGAGAAGCGTAGCTGGGGTTTCGGGGCAGCGAGAGGCGAAGCCAGTGGCCGGATGCCCTTTCCCCGTGGGAGACGGTCCCGTTCAGCATCCGGCTGGTTGTAGGCCCTGAGCCCATTGTGCGTGGGGTTCGCATGGCTGTGGGCCACGTGGGCGGGTGCCAGGAGGCCAGGCGTGAGCCGTGAGCCACGCGTGCCAAGAGGAACCAAGAGGGTAAGAGAGTGTGAGAGAGCGAGCGTCTGTTCAGGGATGTGAGGGTCCCCAGTCCTCACCAGCTTGCAGTGGCCAATGACCTTTGTTCTCAGGTGTGAGTGACAGTGAGAGCCTTCCTTAGTCCCGCCTCTGTCCCCCCTCACCCCTCCCCCACTTTACTGTCTGTCTCCCCTTTGTTGGACCCCTGCGGAGTGTAAAGTTGCAGTTTCCCGGTGAAGCTGCCCGAATGGCAGGCATCTAATAGCCAGCCTTCCCTTGGCTCCTCTCCTGTTATTTTTTATTTTATTTTAAATATATTCTTATTGATGTCAGAGAGGAAGGGAGAGGGAGAGAGAGAAACATCAATGAGGAGGGAGAATCATGGATCGGCCGCCTCCTGCACGCCCCACACTGAGGATCGAGCCCGCAACCCGGGCCTGTGCCCTGACCGGGAATCGAACCCTGACCTCCTGGTTCCTAGGTCGACGCTCACCACTGAGCCACGCCGGCCGGGGCCAGGTTCCTTTAAAATGTGGGCTCTGGCGACGAAGCACCTAGATTCCGAGTTGCCATCCTTGACGCCCGTCCCTCTCGCAGCGTTGCGGGGCCTCCTCGCTCGACAGAAGGCGTCTATTGCGGGCCCACAGGAGGGATGGGTGGCTGGGGGCCTG